GAAATGGAATGAGATCTACATGAACAGCCTGGACATGAGTGGGGGTAATGAAAGGCGAGGGTCGAGGGAAAGAGAGCTTGGGGGAGCGGGAGATCCCACCTGGATCAACAACAGAGAGGGAGAACAAGGAATAGGAGACCATGGTAAATGAAGACCACATGAGAACAGGAAGAAGCAAAGTGCTAGAGAGGCCCACAGAAATCCACAAAGATACCCATACAACAGACTGCCGGCAATGGTCGAGAGACAGCCCGAACTGACCTACTCTGGTGATGGGATGGCCAAACACCCTAATTGTTGTGCTAGAAACCTCATCCAACTACTGAGGGATCTGGATGCAGAGATCCATGACTAGGCCCTGGGTGGATCTCTGGGAGTCCAATTAACGAGAATGAGGAGGGTTTATATGAGCGAGAATTGTTGAGACCAAGGTTGGATAAAGCACAGGGACAAATAGCCAAAGGAATGGAAACACATGAACTATGAACCAATGCCTGAGGGATCCCCACTGGATCAGGCCCTCCGAATGGGTGAGACAGTTGATTGGCTTGATCTGTTTGGGAGGCATCCAGGCAGTGGGACCAGATCTTGTGCTCATTGCATGAGTTGGCTGTTTGAAACCTGGGGCCTATGCAGGATTGTTTGGCTCGGCCTGGGAGGAGGGGACTAGACCTACCTGGACTGAGTCTACCAGGTTGACCTCAGTCTGTGGGGAAGGCTTTGCCCTGGAGGAGATGGGAATGGGGGGGGGGCCGTTGGGGGGAAGGTGAGGGGGACGGGAGGGGGGGAGAACAAGGGAATCCGTGACCGATATGTAGAACTGAATTGTATTGCAAAATAAATTAAAATAAATTAAAAAAAAAACAAAACAAAACAAAAAAAACAAACAAAAAAAAAACATGAATTAGGGGAGACTGTGGAAAGCACTGTATATGTTGTATATATTTTCTATAGTTATTTGACTTTACATAGGGTTCTCATATGTAAGAAAACTGATTGTTAAGAATAATGATAATGAGTAGGGTCCCAAAAGCCAGAAAAAGAGTAGGAGACAGCCTCTGTTCCCACAGTTGGAATCCCACCAGAGAACCAAGCTACACAACTGTAACATATATGCAGTGTTCCTAAGTCAGTCCCATGCAGGCTCCTCGGTTGTTGGTTCAGTCTCTGTGAGATCCTATGAGCCCGGGTTCATTGATTCTGAGAGTTGTCTTGTGAGGTCCTTGACCCCTCTGAATCCTACACTCCATCGTCCCTGTCTTCTGCATGATTCCCTGAGATCTCCTTAATGTTTGGCTGTGGGTCTCTGCATCTGTTTCTATCAATTGCTGGAGAAAGCCTCTCTGATGACAATTGGGCTAGGTACCAATCTACATATATAGACAAATATCGTTAGGCATCATTTTATTAATATTTTTTCCTCCAGTTATGTTTGGTTCTATCCTAGGTCTTTGGGTCAACCAGGTGAGGAACTAGGGGGAGAGAAAGGAGGGGAAATTGCATACAGGCTGTAAAGTAAATAAATAAACAAACAAATAAATAAAATTATTTTTTAAAAAGTAATAACAATAAAATTTTACTTTGCATTTTTGTTTATTTACATTTATATTTTATTTATAACTGAAATAGATAACTTGCCATTGTTTCAAGAATTCTAAAATTACTTTAATGTCGAGAAAAAATATAAAATTTATTTTATATCTAGACTCAACTTGAATTATAAATAAGGACAAACAAGTTTTATATAATAAATACTAGACAAATAGAGTCCTAGTCTCAGTAACTATAAAATTAATTGTGTTCTTTCCTATTTACATTAAGCTTTCCTACTTTTGTTTATCCTAAAGCATGTTTATACTCTTAATATATAAGATTCCCTATAATTCTTTTCAGCTTTAACAAATTCTTAGTGCTATTCTATTACAAATAATTTTCCTATTACTCCAGAAGTCAATAAACTATTTTCTTAAACAAGAATATAATGAAGATTACATTAATATGTAACTGAAAAAAGGCATCACCATTGGCTAGCATCTAGGATATTAGCAGGGACAATTGGCATTTCAAACACTTCTACATAAACCTGGTACTGGAGGGACAACTGTCAGTTTGAACACTTTGACATAAACCTGGTACTGCAGGGACAACTGGCATTTCAAACACTTAGACATAAACCTGGTACTTTCTAATTTGTGCAAAGTCAGCAAGTGTAAAGCCCAACATGAAGAACTTGTAGCAATTTTTAAGGACAAGCTTAAGATACAAGCTATTTTAGACAATGATTTTCCCACTGCCAATCAACTCAGCTCAAAACAAGAGTAAACAGGATATCTACAATGATATGTGTAATTATTGATTTACTGTAAAAGTTCCTAAATTGTTGCTGACAATTTGGAGTATGTATGTTTATTACTATAGGTCTGGAATTTTTTCGAAGTTGGATATGATTTGTACATTTGATTAATTTCGATTAAGCAAAATCATCTTTTTGTCAAGGTTTAAGGAGTGACTTTAAAGTGTATTCTCTTCTTGTGACGCTTTGTGAATATTTGTATTCTGATATAACATATTCATACAACAGTTTTCCCATAATAACATTACATTTTAATATATGACTTTTTAATTATTTGGTTTTAAAACTGCTGTCCTCAAATTAATCAATATAAGAGATTATATAAATACATATGTATATATTTATATATTCCAATATAATATAATCTTACATTAAATACTTGGGGAAGGTGAACCAATAACAAATCATTCCAACAAGGCTGTGATAATAGATCAAGGAGACAATTCTCTACAGCTTCAGTTTGAGTGTACTGTGATTGATTAATAGCACAGAGAACAGGTTAATTACAAAAGTGTGGATGATCAAAAAACAGACCACTGAAGAGTCCCCCTACAGAAGAGATGGAGCCCCCCCCTAACTTGCTAACTTTACTATACACTGTTAATAACTGTCAAGCCAATGTTCAGTCAGGATAGAATTATGTACAGCTAGGGCTGGGGAACAGGTGAGAGAGCTAGAGTCTCAGATGAGGGTCTAATAAGGTTCAGCACCCTCTCTTTCTATAACAAAATATTAATAGGCAAAATTATATGTAACCGTTTGGTGGGTTGAGAATAAGAATGAATGAGTGGTAGAATCCTTGCTGACAGTTTAATGACCTTCACTACTCTCTCTTGATTTTAGGAATGTTACTAGCATCAATTTTAGAAGGATTTGTGAGTGTGTGTAACTATAGCTGCTCTGATGTTGAGATGACAATGATGGCCATGTCATGCCTGGGAGACAGTGTACTGAAACATACACATAGAAAAGATAAATCCACTTGAGTATGGCTTTGCTGCTGTTCTTGTTAAATAAAAAGTAATTTCCTGTATTCATCAATCCCAGTTAAACATTGAAGTGCATTCATCTTTTTTACAGCACCCTTTCTATTCTTTTACCCCATGTTCATCTAAATTGCTCTGATGAGTTCATCTTTAAGCTTAAGACATTTACTTTTTTCTTTTTTCTATTTTCCCATTTTTAATGAAAATATTATTCTCTCATACAACACATCCCAAACACAGGTTCCCCTCCCTCCACTCCCCTAGGTCTTCTGCCTTCACTCTCCCTGAGATCCACTCCCACTCTGTTTCTTCTTCAGAAAACAGCAGGTCTCCGACAGACAACAGCCAAACAGGACAAAACAACATACATTAACACAAGGTAAGGGCACTCATATCAAGGCTGGACAAGGCACCTCAGTAAGATGAAGAGTGTCAAGAGCAGGCAAAAGAGTCAAAGATACACCTGCCCCCACTGTTAGGCCTCCCTCAAAAACAGCAAGCTAACAGCCGTAACAAGTTCTCAGAGGAGCTGGCGCAAACCTGTGCAGCCCCACACTTGCTGCTCAGTTTCTGTGAAGCCAAGTGAGCCCTATTGGTTGTTCCAGTGGGAAGAATTCTCTTGGTGTCCTCCATCCCCTCTGACTACTACAATCTTTCCTACACTCTTCTGTGGGGCTTCCATATTATCAAGTTGAGGGACCCAATGGTGACCTCCAATTTAGACTCTGCACATGATTTCTGGCTGTGGGTTAGTGCATCCACTCCCAACTGCTGCCACCTGATGGTGACAGGACAAGAGATCGATCTATGAATGTAGCAGACTAGCATTAATAATATTTTAATAATGATTTACTATCATCAACATCATCATCATCATCATCATCATCACCTTCATCATTATTATTAACTTTGGCAGTTGTGTTTGGTTCTACCCAAAGACTCCTGGCTATTCAGTCTCTGATTCCTGTCCATCCAGTCAGTGTAAGGCATGGGTTCCCTCTCCTGGAATGGGCCTCAAGTTAAAACAAACTTTGGTTGACCACTCCCATATGTTCTGTGCCACCATTGCCCCAGCACATCCTCAGGCAGGACAGATTGTAAGTGGAGGGTTTTGTGGCTTGGTTGGCATCTAGGTTTCTCTTTCTGTAGCCTGAAGATCATCTCTCTGTGCCAAAGAGACTAGAGTGTAGGGTAAAGGTTCCAAGCCCACAGCAGCTTGAGTTCTCTACAGTTCATTGAGCTGAGTGGAAGCTGTCCTTCACAATGGGGAGCCACTGCCAGATTTTGGAGAGCAACCTTCTGTCCTAGCATCATCCTGGGTTGTTTAGAGATCTCCATGGCAACTCCTCAGCCAACAACTCAAAGCAAGGATTGCCAGTTCAGACTTCATATCCTTCTTCACTAGGAGTCCTCAGTAAGGATTACAACTGAACTAGGTTTCCACACTACCCCACAAATGCCTCCCCCAATTCCAGATCTCTCTCTCTCTCTCTCTCTCTCTCTCTCTCTCTCTCTCTCTCTCTCTCTCTCTCTCTCTTCATCTCTCTCAACATAATCTCTCCCATCCCCATCTGTCCCCAGTTCATCTTCAGCAAGTTGTCCTTCTGGTATAGACTATCCTTTGCATATATGCCCAAGAGTGGTATCACTTGGTCTTGAAGAATAATATCCAATTCTTCATGAATTTGTGTGTTATCCTTGTTCAGGGGTTATGCTAATGTTCTCTGTATCATTCCAATTTTCCAATTTTAATATGTGTGCTGCTGAATTGAGCACTACATTTGGAATTTTCAAATAACCTTTTTGCTCTCACAAATACCCTGACTCAAAACACAACCTATTTTAGGGAATACAGATATAATTAATTGACATTACTTTTACAATATAAATAATATTAGCAATATTTTGTATCTCCAAAATAGCCATATATATATATATATATATATATACACATATATATACATATATATATATACACATATATATACATATATATATGTACTTTATTCTGATATATAAAACATTCTTCAAGATTGTCTTTGATTTGTTATATTTTGAAGATAAATTCACCAGTGTAAAAAGAAGTCTTATGCTCCAAATGGCAAAAGCCATCAGTAAAGCTAATTTCCATAGCTTTATAGCAAAAAAAATATGTCTAAGACCTGGAATCATTTTGAAGATCTCTATTTCTGCATATTAATTTTCTTTACATTATCAAAAGATAAAATGCACTAATTCATAATCATGTTCAAGAAATTTGTTTTCCTGTGAGGTGATTAAAGTCAGAAACAGATTTAATGTAATCCTACAATATGGATTTTGTAAAAAAACCACAAATTTCAAATAAAGTATATATATAATTCAGTCTATGGCATTAGGCTCATATGACAAATGTCAACATGTTCTTGGGATAATGATTGCTGGTTAGTCCAATAGCATACGATCCCTAGTGTTGGCAGGACTGTTATATAAATCCACTTTTATTTGTCTCCTCTCTTTACTACTACTGTCACTCACTGCCTTTGTGGCAATGGACACATGGACTTACATTGAAATTCTGGACACCTGTCACAGGCTCAAATGTTAACATGTCAAAACTTAGGTGCATTTGAGGAGAAAACATTCTGCAGACAAAAGTTTTTTGTCTGTCCCTTTTCAATTAAAACATCCTACAGTATTTGCCAAAAAACAAAACCCAAAACACTGTTTTCCTTTCATAATGTCTAAATAAAATCTCAGAAGTAATTTAGACAAAGTGGATTTTTTCACATAAGTCATGATCAAAAGTGGCCTAAGACAAATCTCTGACCTCATATTAATAATTATCTTTTTCCACAGCTAATTAAGAATAAAGATGCTGGGTGGTGGTGGCACATACCTTTAATCCCAGCACAAAGGAGGTGAACCAGGTAGACCTCTGTGAGTTCAAGGCAAGCCTGGTCTACAGAGCAAGATCCAGTACAGGCACCAAAAAAACTACACAGAAAAACCCTGTTTCAAAAAACAAAAACAAAAAATGAATAAAGATAAAATATGACAGAAATCCTTTTTTCTTTGTGTCAGTGAAACATTTTAAAAATATTACAGACATTAGAGAGTTTTCTCATTAAAGTAGTTCATTCTCTCTCTCTCTCTCTCTCTCTCTCTCTCTCTCTCTCTCTCTCTCTCTCTCTCTCTCTCTCTCTCTGTCAGCTCTCCTATGTTCATAGGGACTTAAACATAACTCTTCCTTATCATATGAAATGGACTGAAATTATGAAGATTAAGTCTAAGAAGAAATGAGAATAAGAAAATCCTTCAAGGATTGAGTTTTATATTGAAAGTCAACAAAAGTTAAATATGAGTCTCTAAAAATGAAACTGACATTTCAAAAGTCAAACGAAGTGTTTCTTGTTTGGTATGAAGAGTCATAGAAATTGATGTCATGGTACAAAGCAGAAATGGAATTCTCCATTACAAGAGACTAACAAGTAATACATTTTTATAAACTAGGAAAATGATCAAAGTTTATCTGATAAAAATAAAATTCCTGACCTGAAAAGACAAATTAGGAAAGAAACTACTTGAGGTAGAAATGATTCTTAGTCACATCTAAAATTAAATCTGCTCAAGTATCCATAAGTTTAAAAAAAATCTAAGCATACCAGTATACTTAAAAAAACAAATTTTCATTTTTACCAGTAATGTTTGTAGACTATTACAATACAATGATGAAATTTAGTTCTTCAGGATCCCATGAAAAACCAAATGACATAGCAAATTTGATAAACTTCAATTATCTCTTAAAACCTAAATTGATTATTTAAGAAAAGTATAGGAAAAGATAAATAAAGTTGTGTTAATTATGGTACCCAGCAAGGTACAAAATGAAGTCTTAGTGGTTATTTTGAGCTGTAAGTGGACAAACAAAACTCAGTTTTGTTACCCACAACACCCTGGGGAGTTCCACTAATTTTTACCACTCAGGTGAAACTAGAATATGTAGTTTGAATGCAGAAAAGAACCCCAGGTTAAGTTAAGAAAAAATAGAAAGTCTAAGGAAATTGCTGGGACATGGGAATGGTAAGGGATTCTTTGGAATCTTCTTTGTTCCTCTTGCCAGCTGAGAGTCAAGATTCCAACATCCTTAGCAAAACTTGCTCTGAAGTTTCTTAAATAAAGTCAGTAGTTCCTTAAGGGGTAGCATTTGTCATATACTAAACACAGCTACTTTCCTTCCAGGCATGACTTCTTTTATAAACAGATACTGTTAGATAGCAATGTTAAAATAGCATTAAACAATGCTTAAGATCTGAGGATATGTAATCTTCCAGTGTGGTGGTTTTCTTTTCAAGATATTTTCTGGTAATCTCACAAATGAGACTATAAGATTATTTACCCCAAGAACATTTTAACTCCATCCTCAATTCTTCTGAGCTACCTGTTAGCATGATTTTAGAGCTATAATCATACGCAGCTAATGGTAACCAACCTATTATCTCATATAAAGCTCTGTTAATGACTCTTGGAGATGCCCTTCAAGAGTAACTAAAATAATCCGTGTGGCTCTTACAAAACAATTAAATTGACTCTCTTGAGAAGTTAATATCCAAAGTTGAGTCCAATCTTTTCGCTAAATACTTATTCTCTTTATTCATTCCTGTGTTTAAATTCATATTAAAGCATTCCCTCAATATATTTCAACACTGCTTGATAATGGCTTATTCCAATGCCTTTTTGTTTGTTTGTTTGTTTTTTATGAGCAAAAATCCTGGCTTCACTTCAGTAGAGGTATAAGAAACACTGATTTTAGCATTTTCTGTCAAATACTATAAACTTTTGACAAGGAAATAAAATATTTCTTTCACACCTTATAAAACCTTTGTCCAAAGGCTTTATGCTATGTCTGCCACATCTGCACGTAACTGTAGCTAGAATTTTCCTTGGGCCACAAGCCAGCTCCCAAATAAAGACATGGAGACTTATAATTAATTATGAATGCTTGGCCTTAGTTTAGGTTCCTTTAACTTAATTTAACCTGTTCATCTTAATCAACATTTTGCCTTGGGACTTTTTACCTTTCTTTCATTCTGTATGTCCTACATTCCTGCTTCCTCTGCATCTGGATAGCTGGCCCCTGGCCTCTCCCAGGCTGCTTTTCTTTCTCCTGAGCCTAAATTCCTCTTCCTAATTACTCTCCCTGCCCAGAAGTTCTGCCCAAACCTTTTCCCTCAATACAGGCCATTCAGCTCTTTATTAAACCAATCAAGCACCTGAAGCAGGCAAAGTAAAGCAGGAACACATCTTTACATAATTAAACAATTGCAACACCTCTTTAAATAGTTAAACAAATATTCCACTACATAAACAAATGCAACACATTTTTACACAGTTGAACAAATATAACACATCTTTGCACACTTCAATAAATATTCCTCAACAATTACCTCTTTCTGTGAAGCTGTGGAACACCTCCCCAAACCTCCCACCACACTTAAGTAATCTCTAAAAAATGAAATGAAATTATTTCAAGTGATACTTTTCATGTTGTTATTTATCTTCCTGCATAAGCAGCAAATATTATAAATCTTCTCAGGAAAATGAATAGAAGAGATAAATGATTATTGGCTGGGATAAATGAGAGTAATGGAGAAGTAAATATTATTAAGATGTGTTTTATATAAAACATACACATATGTGATGAAATAAAACTCACTCTGTAAAATTCATATTATGAAATATTTTTAAATGGGGTTTTGTTGGTTAAACTTAGCAATGGAGGCATTGTTTAAATATAGTACACAGCTACAGCTTAAAAACAAAATATATCGTGGTATCTCTTTCCTTGTTTTCCCACTCTGTTCCTGATTCAGCTGTGACCTCCCGCTCCCCTAAGCTCTCTTTCCTTCAACCCTTGCCCTCCATTACCCCCCTCCCCCTCACATCCAGTTTGCTCCTTTAGATCTCATCCATTTCTCTGTCATTGGGTGATCCCTGTGCTTTTCTTAGGGTCCTCTTTACTAAGTAGGCTCCCTGGAGTTTTGAGTTGCACTCTAGTTATCCTTTGCTTTACATCCACCATAAATGAAGACCCCATGGGAATAGGAAGAAGCAGAGTGCTAGAGAGGTCCCCAGAAATCCATAATGATATCTTCAAAATAGACTACTGGCAATGACCTACTGACCTACTCTGGTGATCAGATTGGATGGTGGTGCACACATGCCATAACTTGCCTGTGGAAGTCAGAAGACAATTTTTAAGAGTTGGTTCCCAAACTGGATGTGAGGGGGTAATGGAGGGCAAGGGTCAGGGGAAAGATAGCTTAGGGGAGCAAGAGGACCCAGCTGGATCAGGAACAGAGTGGGAGAACTAGGTAAGAGATACCATGATAAATGAAGACCCCATGGGAATAGGAAGAAGCAGAGCACTAGAGAGGCCCTCAGAAATCCACAAATACACCTCCACTGTAGACTACTGGCAATGGTCGAGAGAAAGCCTGAACTGACCTACTCTGGTGATCGGATGGCGGTACACCCTAACTGTCATGATAAAACTCTCATCCAGTGACTGATGGAAGCAGATGCAGAGATCCACGACCAAGCCCCAGGTGGAACTCCAGGAGTCCAATCAGCAAGAGAGAGGAGAGATTATATGAGCAAGAGCTATTGAGACCATGATTGGAAAAAGCACAGGGACAAATAGCCAAACTAGCAGAAACACACGAACTGTGAACAGATAGCTGAGGAGCCCCCACGGAACTGGATCAGGCCCCCTGGATAAGTGAGACAGTTG